AAATATTTAAGGGAGGGGGGAAGTAAGGGGGAAGTGATGGAGGGGGGATAATGTAGTAGAGAGTGAGGGGGGAGGGAGGGGGAAGGAGTGATGGAGGAGAGAGGGAGTGGTGAAGGGTGAGGTGGGAATGGATGGAAGGGGGAGCAATGGGAGGGGGGGCAATGGAGGGAGGGGGAGCAACAGAGGGAGGGAGGGGGGATGATGGAAGGGTGGTGGTGAGGAATGATGGAGGGAGGGGGAGCTCACCTGGGCTCGTCGTTGCCCATTTCCGTTGACGCAAGCGGAATCCTCCGTGCGTGGGCGCGCGTCTTCGTCCGTGGGCGTGCGTCGTCGTCGGTCGTGGGTGGTGGGCTGTATTGGCGTCCGTGGGGGTGGGTTGCCGTTTCGTTCGTCTTCGCGTTTGCGTTTGCGTTGCGCTCGTGGGTGTTCGTTGTCGTGCGTGGGTGCTCATTGTCGTGTCGTGGGCGCTCGTGGGCAGTCGTTGTCGTGGGCGGGCAGTGGGGTCGTGTCGTCGTCTTCGTCTGCTGGGCGTCCGTTTTCGTTTGCGTGCGGTTGCGGCTCGTTTGGTTGTCGTGTCGTGGGCGTTCGGTGTCGTGTCTGGGCGCTCGTTTCTTTTCGTGGGCGCTCGTGGGCAGTGGGGGTCGTGTGGGGTGGTGTGCATCGTTTGTGGGTGGGCGGGCTCGTCGGTTGTCGTGTCCGTCCGTCGTTTCGTTGCCACGTCGCTGACCGTGACGTGGCACCTGGTTTGTTGTCAAAAGGTGGACTGGGAGGGGTTACCCAGTCCACTTACCTGGGCTGCAGTCGAGGCGGAACGTCCATTGACGTTCCGCGTCGTCGTCGTCGCCTCCCATCCGTGTGACGTGGCGTTGCCACGTCGTGTGGCTCTTGCAATGGCGGGGTCGTTGTTGACGACGTTGCGTGTCGTCGTGCACCGTCAGCGTGGTCGTCGTCGTCAGTGAGGTCGTCGTCGTGGTCGTGGTCGACGTCGATGTCGCGGGCGGTCGTCGTGGCTTGAAATGGTGGGGTGGATGGTGATGGTGATGGTGGAAGGAAGAAACGACGTGGCATTGGCAATGCGTCGTGTCACGTTTGAGACGCCACGTGACAAAAGGTGGTATATATATACCTTTACTTTACCATATAATAATGCCTTCGTGGCTCAGTTGGTTTGAGCACTGTTAATATTGACGAGGTTGAGAGTTCAATTCCTGTAGATGTAAAATTTCTATTTTTACTTAAATATAGTAAGGACACTATAAATACTGTATTCTAATGGTATAATGGTCATCCATGGAATCCATGTGGACTGCTCCATGGAATCCATGTGGACTGCTCCATGGAATCCAAGGTGGATATGCCTGCATTCCATGTGGAATCCAATGGAATCCATATGGAGTGGTGTTGGAGTCCATATGGAATTAATCATTCCATGACCATTCCATGGTCATTCCATATGGAATCCATGAGGTCTATGGAATCCATGAGGTCTATGGAATAAGGAAATGGCTGGGTCCTCAGCCAACATGGATTCCATGGATTCCATATGGAATTATCCATGGATTCCATGGATTCCACATGGATTCCATACGGAATAACCCGGGGAAGGTAAAGACCTCAACTAACCTGTGGCCAGGGCCTGAAAACCTCAAACCCCCCACTAATCTGAGTCCACCCCTCAAAAATTCAGCGGCGACGCCGGCTGAAGACGTCGGCAAAAGCGGTGGTGGATGAGAGTGTTGCAAGAGAGCCAGAGGGAGGCTCTAAACGAGATCGAGAGGATGGAAGGTTTGAGAAAGAACCCCTCGGTTTTGATGAAGACTCGGGGGAAGGGGTAGTGGTCGAGTCGCGCATGTCGTTGTGGTTGTACAGTACCAAGTGTGAACCGTGAAATTTCACTAAGTCCCGCGTCACAAAAGCGTGACCCTGCCAAAGGGTGTTCGTTTGTCCCAGCCGTTTCTTGAATGGAGCTTGCGGAGTTTGAAGAAACGGATGGTCACGAGCCTATATATTTGTATAAGCAGAGAGGAGATTCACGAGAATACAAAAGACTTACTTTGCAAGCTTGAGAATATGTTTGAGGAGGCGAGGGATGATCTTGGACTCCTGCGTCTTCTTTTCAAACTCGATGATTTGTTTGAGATGTGCATTGAACTTGTGCTTGTATGCTGTTGCGGTGAATTGAACATCGACGTGCTCGCCGGTTTGCCATTCATCAATGCAGCTCTCAGCCTGGTGATGAGTTAGAACAAACAATTCACATGAAAGTATGACCGACGTACAACAGTGATGACAAGAGCCATCGTTATTTTCGAGAGCGTGTCATCTTCAGAGAACTCCGGATGAATGACTCTGTCGTCGGTCTTGTTTCGGAACCACATTTTGTTGATGATGGCTTGGAACACGGGGTGACGGTAGAGGCCTTTGCGAGCCTTTGTGTCCTAGAGGGTGTCTGAGAACTGAGAATAGACAGAGGGATTATGACAAACCTTGTACATAAAGGTGTTTCAGTCCAGCAGGTCTTCGACTAGATTTCTGATCTCGCGCTTGGGAGCACTTGGATTGATTCCATATGCAGCCTCAACCAAAGGCCGCGCGATGGTCTTGAGCTGGCCACGGACTTGAGATGCACGAGCAGTGATCTGTTGAGTGATTAGATGACGGAAAACGGTTGATGATGACGCTTACCAGCTTTAGCATGTCTTCATCAAACTCGACGCGAACACCTCGTGCATTACACGATTCCACCCAAGCTCCTGTGGCCGTATCGCGATCCTCAAGGCGGTCCGGATAGGGTTGGACACCACCGATCTGAGCGCGGTATATCGAGATAGTCTCCTCGAGAAGGGATTTGCTGAGTTCGTCAAAGTCTGCAACTCGGGCGCGTCTTCGCGAGCCTGATGACTCGGTCTTGGGTCATTTGGTGACCACTGTGGTCGAAGGCGCTGGGGTGGCTGGATGATCCTTTCGGATGCGAGAGTTTATGGTTGGAGCGATGGGGGGTGCTGTTGTCTTCTAGAGTTGGGAGGTTGGTAAGTAAACAGCTTAAAAGTTCGCTGACCAAGCAAACATGGAAGACGTACAGGTTGCTTCGAAGCACGAACAGATGGGGTGAGGGCAGCTTGATGGTCCTTATGAGAAGACAAAGAGGTTAGTAAGATTATGGTGATGAGTTAGAAGTGACAAACCTGCTCGGCCTGCTTTGAAACATGAGCAGACTCTGCGCGAGGGAAAGCTTCGAGCTCAGGGTGTGCATCAGGGTACTTGTAGACCACTGGTTGTGAGTAGAGCGTCGATTTGGTTCCAAACTCATCATCACTATCTGAAAAACACAAACGTCATGATAACAGCATGTAAGGTAAGGAGAGCCTTACTCTCTGCTTCCGGATACCTCTTTTCTTTCGTATAGTAGGTACCATCAGGCCGCCCATAAAGTGACATGCTTTTGGGGCTGTATGGACCAGGAGTGTGTTCATCCATCATGGATGGCGAAGATTGAGGAGGCTGTCCAGTGACACGTCGAACAAGATTCTTGGACGGCCCTCTTGTTTCCTGGGTAGATTGGTCAGATGGGGGGTAAATAGGCACAATGAGATATGTACAAAAGTCGTTACAGGTACGTTTTCCTTGTCTGGTGCGACTCGATGGGTTAGAGTTCGACTATCACGTACGGTGGTCTTGATGACTGGTTGAAGTGTAAAAGATGTAAACTTTCATCACGTTAGCACAGGCTCTTGACATAGAACATGCAACTTACTCCTTGACCAGTGTGAACAACAGGCTGGTCGTCTTCATCCTCAGACTCGACATCGGCCTCAACAGGACTTTGGACAGGTATAGATTGATAGCCCATGATTGCTTCCTGGGCTTGATGACAATGTAGGGCCTGGACGTAAGCTTTGTCCTTCGACGCTGCTTGCTTCTGTGTCTTGTCAACTTCTGAGAGTCTTCATGAGTACGAGAAACATATTTATTAGGTTTGATGTACTTACCGAGCTGTTGCTGCTTGGCGGACAATGTGCGTGGGCGACCGGAAGAAGTCGGCTGAGCTTCAACAGGAGGTGCTGAAGCTGGTTTGAGAGCTGTAGTACGTGTGCGAGGGGCCATTCTAAACAGAGTTGTAAGCTGATGAAAAGACACAAGAGGACTGAGGCAATAGTGCACGCTGGTTTCATCCAGCGGTCATGGCGGTCAAATAGGAAAATCAGGTGGCGGTGTCCAATTTCTAAAAAATCAACAAAGGCGATGGCGCGATTCGCGTCGGTAACGTGACAGCGGCCATCGTATAAAACGGCAGAGAGCGGAACACTGAGACAACTATGATCGGATAGGTAAAAAAAAAATTAATGTGATTGACGGTTGAACAAGTACACATACCTCTCTTGACATGTTGACTGTCCCTCGTACTCGCCGAACCCGACTAAGGAAGGCGATAGCTGAGCAGCACGCTTCGCCTGACCCAACTGTTACTGTATCCACCATCTGCGGATTCTGTGGAAAAGGGCCCTTTGCGACTGTTCCAGGTTTACACATCCACATCCACAATATGCCTGCCTGCAATCAAGCGCGTCAAGCCGACTTTGGATCTTATGTCGCAAACATCTGGACTGAAGTAGCTGGTCAGCCGGATGGGTCTGCTCAAACACCGGAGAATCACCAAGATGGTCATGCTATTGATGGAGGGCCGGGAGAACCTGTTCAACTAGTGGAGGAACAGTCCCCCATCCAACTGGACCAGGACCTCGACAATGCCGCTGATAACTTCATGTCTACGGCTGCACAGACACAGTCAGATGAAGATCCTCCACCGCAATCGTCACAACGTACCACAATCAAGGAGGTTCCTGACGAGGATGCAATACCTCAATCCAGTCAAGAATTCTACTATGTCGAGCTCTATCCTGAGAACCAAAAGGCAGGGGCTACCTGGGGAACAGGCACTCCGTTGTTTGAATCCATACGCCAACAGCAGGAGAGAGACAGTGAGCCAATATGGGGACCTTTCGCAGATGAAGCAGAGTTGGGGTTGGCGGAATGGCTACTACGGAATGTGGGACAAAAGCAGTACTTATCACTCCCCCACCTATTCCTACTGGACTCCAGGACTCCAGTAAGATTCCTACTGGACTCCAGGACTCCAGTAGGATTCCTACTGGATTTCAACAATTCTTCCAAAAAAGGCAATTTCCACCTATTGGACTCCTACTGGACTCCAACTGGACTCCAACTGGACTTTAACAAAATACCAGAAAGTGAATACATTGCCTAGATACTGGATTCATACTGGACTCCTACTGGACTCCTACTATACAATTTACTATTACAGATGCCCAGAGCTAAGTTGAGATCATGTGACTGATAATTAAGGTCATGTGACTATCTTACCTTAGGTGTCATCTTCAAAATCTGAGTCAACATCTTTCTCCTCTTCCATATATGGTCTCTTCATCTGCTTTTCCATCACATATTGGCTGTGGTAAAACAACATAGAATGCAAAAACCAGTCAAAATTGCCTTGTGTCATCCTCTTCAGGATAGACTCAAATCCACCTAGCCAGGCATTTAACTGTTCACAGGCCTATTTTAAAATTCATTAATTTTTGTATTTCATCACACATTAACCCAAACTTACCTGTGTGTTGAATGCTCGCTTGTAGTATGATCGACCATGTTTGTCTTTTTCAACAACAACAAGATTTGGAGCTGATCCATTCAATGGTGCAGGATTACACCATTTTCGACAAATATAATCACCAACACGGTGATTAATATAGTGGTAACTATCAACAATGAACCGAGTTGTATGTTTCCAAATTCTGTCCCAGCTTCCATTGCTAATTGCTGTTCGTAATAAAAGACAAGCCTTATCAATTCAGATGTAATCTGGACGTGATTCAGCTGTAGGGTAAACTGATTCCAGAAAGTTAAGAATATTTGTGGGGGATTCAGACTTGGGAAATTTAGCCCAAGCAATAACAACACCACAAGGTGCAGTAATTGTCTCAATACAATAAAACCGTGAAGGACTAAAGTAATGGGATCTTTCAATATCAGGTGTAGCCTCATCATGGCGTTGGGTATTTGGCTCTCTATTGGGTTGCCAAGGCATTCTCTCTCCAGCCCTTCTTAAAATCCGTCTAACACCAGATAAGGTATGTGCACTTCGGTTATAGGCATTTTTTAACCATTGCTCCTGATGACCTGGATTTGTGCATGCCAATGTTCCAACCTTCTTTGTATTGGTACAACCTTTGATATGACACTTTGTTCCATGTTCAGCTTCATGCACAGGACAAAATACACCCCCTCGAGCATTGCCAACTGCTGATGTGCAATCACCATATGCACAATGAGTTGGTCCCATTACAATCCCATCCACAACCACCATCCTAACAGGTGCATGATCAACATTCATAGGCTCATCATCTGAGTCCTCCTGTACATGAGATGCAAGCTCTCTTGCTCTTGCAGCATCTTGTGCAGCTTCCTCCGCCCCTTCTCCAAGTAGAGAAGGTACAACTCTGTTTTCATCTCTACCAACTAGTGCAGCAGGATCATCACCAGTAATAAAATCAGCTTTTTTTATTTATTTTTGGGTACACTCAGAACAGGAGTGTTGAAAAGCAGGACGTATCATTCCATTTGCTCCAAGTTTACTGAATGCCTCACGAGTCACCTCATCAATAGACAGCCCATCTTTAATAGTTAAGGTGCAACCTGATACACCTGCTATTGTCCTTATAGACTCCTGAACAAATGCCTGCCAGACTTGACGACGTGAGATCCTTATTGGCTTCCCCTTACACAATTCTCCAAAAGTGTTATTCCAAAAGTCAGTGTAGGCATTTGCAGATGCATGAAAGTTATACATTGCATTTAAAACAGCTGATGAAAAGACACGATCAACCCAAACATTCTGGCCCACTTTCAAGTATACAGCAGAGTTCAAGTATACTCAATCAAATGAGCCAGTCTGTCCAACTACTCGCTCACGATCAGCAGAATATTGGGTCTGACATTTTGGGCAAAGTCCAGTAAGGACATAACTTTTCTTATAAATCTCAGTACCCTTTATTAGTGTAACTTCAGGAATATCTCGTGGTCGAGCTGCCTGGAGTAGTGACCTTGGATCACATGACATTGTTTCACATTCAACTGCATCAGGGCATATCAGAAGAACAGGCTTGAGCTCATCATGGGATATAGGGTTCAGTTTTCCTTTGAATCTTCCATCCTTGTCAATGGGATGTAACTCCAACATTTTTGCAAAAAGGTCAAGTTTATTTCCCAATGCCACAAACATCTGATCTTCAGTCATTCCCCCTTTGACTTCAGACTTTTTGAACAATCGGTCTTTTTTATCACCCAGGTGTTCAGTTAGAGCCCTGATCAATCCTGTGATCCAGCCAGTGGTATGAGTTCTTCGCTCTCCTGGATACTTAGAAATTTGTTGTCTTGCATGTAAGCTCAGAAGGGTTGTGTTGTTAGTCATGGTGAACAGTAGTAATAGCACAGTTGATAGTGAGACTTTGGAGCTAAAGTTGGATGTAACAAATTCACTGAAGACCGAAAAGGGGATATCAGGGAATGGAGAATGAGTCTGGTGGGCATTGACTGCTGGGAGCATGCTAAACATGGCTAAGATTCCAAGAATTGGGGTTATATAACCCAGTAAACCACAGAGCAAACAAAAAAAGCTAAGCATATATCCGAAACTACAGAGATTGTCTAGATTCAAAAAGATGTCAGGTTTGGCTAAAACTACTTACTTCCTATCCTTCTTCTTATTTCCTCCTTTCGCCTTCTGCTTTCCCTTGAGATTCTTTCCAGCATCACTATCCTCATCTCCAGAATCCCCACCTTGCGCCCTTTTCCCTTTACTAGCTTTCTTCTTTGTACTCTCTGAAGAACTCTCCTCTGAAGAACTCTGTTTTTTCCCCTTCTTCCCCTTTCCTTCTTTTTCTCCTTTCCTTTCTCCTTCTTGTCCACCTGCCCCCCCAAATCAGCACCCTGAGGAGAATTCTGCTCATTAAGCCATTTTTTAAGATCTGAAAAGGTATAGGATGTTTTCTGGAAACCCCAGACATCCACACTAGAAGGCCTATCATCTCCATCCTCCAGCCACTCAACCATGTCAAGATACTTAGAGACATGGGGAAAAAGTCCAACATAATACTGATGCCACATAGACTTAGAGATGAAAATCTCAATAATATCTGTGGCAGTTGGCTCAGGACATGTGCTAGGCCAAGTTTTAGCACCCTTCATTCTATTATAGTCCTGCATAGCTTTATTGCAGGCTTTATATCTCTCATATGCCAGAGTGAGGGGTACCTTCCCCTCTTGGTTCATCAAGTGAGATGAGATCTTAAGTATAGTAGCAAGCTCAAGCTTATACGTGGCTGCCAGACTCTTAGATCTTTTGGAAAATCCAAAAGACTGAGGAGCCAAGCTAGGAGCAGACCCAGACCCAGCACCAGACAAAGCTACAGAGACAGATCGTGAAATAGACGCAGATGTAGAATGAGAAACAGAACGAGAGACAGAACGAGAGCCAGAGGTGGCTTCCAGACCAAAGGAGCTCTAGAAAATATGTTAGTAGAGAACTCATGTGACTGAATGAAGCTACATACAACCAGAATAGACAAAACATATTTTCCTTTTTCCTTATTGTAGACCCATTTCACATCCTCATTCTGTTCAAGGGCAAATGCATAAGGCCCCTTAATATTCCAAATCCCATCAACATCATCCCAGGTTAAAATAGTCATGTTGGGATCTAGAAATATATCAATAAAAAATAACTATTAAGCTTTAACACTCACCTGCAACCTCAGGACAACGTTTGATAAGATTTTCCAGGACAGGCTGAATGGTTGCTGTAACATCATGGCTGAAACCCATAGACGCTTTCATTGAGGGGAGAGATAAATTGGCAGGGTCTTCCTGTGAATTATATAAAAGAACTTGACCACCAACAAGGGGCGGTCGATCCATATGCGCTGCATCAGAAAAGTTGAATACATTGCCATAGGCTCTCCCTCAAATAAGTCCACCTGCACACAAAGATATCCACTTAGTAAATATAGCAAAAAGTCTGGAAAGATTTACCAGTGGTGCATGATGCACCTTGCAAGTTATTCTGATCCCGAGGGGGACTATGGGGTGGGCTGTTCATCCTAACATCTGCCACAAAGACAAAAACTTCGTAAAAAAAATTTACGAGATACAAGTTCTACCTACCTTCATCACCATAAGGTGCATTCAAGTCTAAATGATAAAGAACAGGCTATAGTACATACATATGTAATATAATAATACTTACCTATAGTACGGGTGGGCGCTACATCACGCAATAGGGTGCTGGGCACTACAGCCGCGGGCACGTTGGTGTTGGGCACACTGGTGTTGGGCACGCTGGGGGTGGTGGCATTCATGACAGGGGTGTCTGTTGCAGGGGCATCCGTTGTAAGGGTAGTGGTAGCGAGGGTGGTGGTAGCGGGGGTGTCCGTCAAGGGGATGTTCATGGCGGGGGAATTCCTGACGGGGTTGTTCATGGTGGGGGCATTCGTGGTGGGGGCATTCGTGGTGGGGCTGCTCATGTCGCGGGTGTCCGTTACGAGGGCATTGAGGGTGAGGGCGTTGAGGGCGATGGCGTTGGCGTTGGCGTTGGTAGCGTGGTGGGGCTCGTTGACAGCCTTCGTGTTGTTTTCGTGGTTTCCGTTGCTGTCGCCTTTGTCCTTGTTGTTGCCTGACGTGTCCCCCGTGTTCTTGTTGCAGGCGTTCTCGTCGTCCGAACCGCTGTCGTCATTGGCGGCTTTCTTGGTTTTGTTGCTCAGGTGTTCGTCTTCGTCTGCGTCGTCGTCTGTGTCTTCGTCTTCATCGTCTTCATTTTCGGTGTTGTCGGTGTTGTCGCTGTGTGATCCATCGTCGCTGGTGTCGGGGCTGGTTTGTTTGTTGTTGCTCTGGATCTTGGTGGCGTCCGAACGGCGTTGACGGCCAGTGACGAGGTCGGGTGGAGGTGGAAGGTGGGTGGCAGTGGTCGACCGAATGCACATGGGGGGCGCAATCGGCACGCCGCTCTCCTTGAGCAGGCGCTCGGTCCTGTAGTGGGGTGTTACTGAAGAGGAAACAGGTAGGCAGGGGTGACTCAACTTGTAAGTTGGCTTGGGGCTCCTGCTGCATCGGCGGCAGCATCTTCTTGTGCACGATTGGCAGCCGTTTTCCTAAAAATGAGCAGTTCGTCAGTGGGCGAGGGTGTGATGAGTGGGGCAACGTACCTCGCACGTTTCGTGCCCTTTTTCCTACCCTTTGCTGTTCCCTTTCCCTTCCCCGTCACTTGCGAAGCGTCGTCGTCGTCGTCTGGGGTCTCCTTTGGGGCCGCTTTCTGTTTCTTGTTCGATTTGTCTGCGCCTGATTCGGCGCGCTTGCGTTTCTCGGTTGGTGGGGACTTGCGTTGAAGCCCGCTGCGGTTGCGTGGCTTGGCGGATCGTGTTTTCGATGGCATGGTGTATTGTCGATGGGTGTCGATGGTTGTCGATGTTTGTGGATGCAGTCGAGGCGTCGTCGATGGGTGGTGGTGACGTGGAAGGATCTGGGTTGAGGGTTTGGGCAAATTCCCACTCGCGGAAGTTGCCGGCATCCTTTCTGGGAAGGTAACCCCACGGGTGGTATGTAGAGCGTAAAGTAAAGGCTAATATAAAAGCCTATGTGGTGCAAGTGGTAAAGTGCTCATTCTATAAAATGTTGCCTTGTCCATGAGGTCAAGTGTTCAATCCATGCAAGTTGCGCTTTTTTTAATATTATATAATAAGAATAATAGTGACAAACTACTGGACTTACTGGACTCCTTGTACTCGGAAATTCCTAGTGGACTCCTACTGGACTCCTTGTACTGGACTCCACTATACCCATTCCTTAGGAATCCTTAATTCCTTGTGATTTGGGATCATTCCAGTAGGAGTCTACTAGGATTCCAGTAGGACTGAGATGCAAAATTTGTATGGTGTTCAGGCAATATGAAATTGGCTGGAGTCCTAGTAGAATCCAGTAGGAGTCCGGGATTCCAGTAGGAGTCCAGTAGGAATAGGTGGGGGAGTGTAAAGAGCTCCTATCACTTCCACCGGACAGGATTCGTGTGGTCGTATGCAGTAGTCCCGCACTGCTTTGACAAGGTAAGCATCCTCCCTTGCTTGTCGTTTTTTACGTTGACGTTTCGTCTTGGCATGTTTATGTGTTTTCGCCTTCATGAAGGAAGAGATGTGGTGAGTGCTTTTCCGTAGATGTTTGAAATCATTCATTCTATTGACGCCTGACACTAAAACCGAGTAAGGAGTGTCTTTGAAGTGAAGGTGTGATCCTTCCGTGACTGATCTAGAGACATGTATCTCATATGTGAGGTGAAAGTCTTCCCCCAGCAAGATTGGAACTGTCATGTCGGGGATGACATATGCTTCCACTTCTGTTTCCAGGATCGTTCCATCTGTAGCTTCCATGAATACTGGGATACGAACAAATCCTTTGATGTGAGTACCTGTCTCTGTTAGTTGAAAGATTTGCATTTGATAACCTTGTTGAAGAGGTGGACGGTTTCATAATGATAGGTATAGCTCTTCAGAGATCAAAGTTATGTCAGCACAAGAGTCCAGGTGAAGGTTGATCTCCGGGTTACTTGTCGACGCTAACTGTCCTTTAGTGGCCAATACAGACACGCCGATTGCTGAGGCCCCCAGCTTTGTAATTCTGGCCTTGGACATGCATACTCATTTAAGAGGAGTGGGTGGGCCTGGTATGTCGCGGAGGGGAAGTGTGAAGTCCTTGCAGGTGTCAGGTGGTTTCTCTGGAATCCGGCTTTCTCCACTGTTCCCATGAGCATTAAACGCATTACGTTCATTTGTGTTTGGCTCAAGTAATGTGGGTGGTGGTTCACCCCCTTTTGACTTGTCGATTCCTTCCAGGATATAACGAGGATCCATCACTGTAGGTTTGGAACAGGCACAGATGTCATCTTCATCCTCTATTTCAGTAACATGCGGCTGTAATGTATGCTGGATGTTGTTAGACGTGGAGACGATGTCATCCATCACATCTTCCAAAACGTGAGTGTCTTCTTTGAGTGTCAGCATACTCCTCATCTTTTCCTCATCCTTGTCCGGTACCTCTTCCATGGAAACTTCCTTCCACTTGTAGGACTTATGTCCATGAGAGTATTGGCTCGATTGTCGAACCAGTGACATCATGACCGCCTCACGAAAATCCTGGTCATTGGAGAAAGGGCTTGGTTCGTCCATTTCGATTAATTGTTCTGCGACTCTGTTATTGAGTAAGACGGCATAGGCTGTGCAATACTTCTCCTCTAATTCTGGTTCGTCGTCTGATTGTCCCACTGTAAAGTGAGCTGACCGGTTTCTAGTTTCTAAGTAGACGTTCCAATCTGGGCATTCCTTGTCCCAATGGTTAGGAATGCCACAAACTTTACACGGAGAGGGGGGAAGCCTCCCCATTTTGGTGTTGACATGATCGTTCTGTTTAAAAGGATAGCCCCTGGGCGGCGGAGGTCTCTGCCGTTTCAGGAGAACTTGGTAAACTTCTTTCAGAATCCCTTCGTCAATTAGAGATGGAACAGAAGACGAAGTGTTGGGAGGATCTGTAGTATTAGCAGTTGTTCCGTGACGTTGGCTCTCTTGACAAATCTAGCGGGAGAATTTGTGGAGTGATCCCCAGATCCCAAAATGCCCAAGCACCTTAACATATACGCGAGGTTGTCCGCTGTTACGATTTGAGAACTCTCCATTTTAGAACCATGGACTAAAGCTTGGAAGTGCTCTGTTACTTTAGAGAAAAGCATACTGGACAAACGAATGCTATCGATGTTGATAACTGAGCCCCATGATACTGGCGCTCGCTGCATAACAAGGAAGACCTCCAAGGGGCCTCCCATATCTCCATTGACCAGCATGCGAGTGTACATAATACGCCTAATTATGAATTTCCTGGGATCTTCGCGTTCATGACCCACTTGTTGGAAAGATTGGTTTTCATATGTAGCATTCATTTTCATCTGCCAAGTACGTCCCAAATAACCTTCCTTAATCCCTCTCATGTAGGCAATGTAATGTGATCTCATATACTCTTGTTGTTCTTGCGAGCACATAGCAAACCACATGCGGACTGTAGAGTCTTCTTTCAAATTCATCCATAGCCAGTAACCCAGCACTTGAGGTAAGTATCCCTTCATCGCTGCCAGTTGTTGAATTTTCCAGAAGTAATTGATTGCAGTGTCGTGGTTCCCATCCCACGTTGGCAATTGTTCCAATTTGATGTCTGTCTTTACGGTAGGGATGTAATTCCCATACAGGGCGGGAGGACGATTTTTGTCCCATTCAGGTCAATTGGAATCACAACTTCTAGTCCTAGAGGAGCTCGAAGAAGACGAAGGAGGACCAGGTGGACCTCCTCCTCTGCCACCTCTGCTTCCATAACCGTGATGGGTAATTCTGTGATCATTATTCCTCGGTGGATCATGTCCTCCTGGATTGCTGGGAGGATCATCATCTGGTGGGTCTGCATCTCCTCCGTTTGGATAACCATTGTTTTCTCGATTAGAGTCATGTTTATCCGCGTATGGAGCTGTATTCTGATTTCTAGCAGTGTTGCCCGGTTGTCAACTGTTACTTGTATTCTCAGTAGCTACTTGAGAAGTGGAAACCTGAGTTCTTGCTTGGAGAAAACCCCTTTCTTGTGGATTGGTCATTCCTGTTTGTTTCTGTGAAAGCATGGAATGAAAGGACATCGTGCCTGAAACTGTGCTCCAAGGGGTGGAAGTTATTGGTCAGGTTGCTGGGTTCAATGGCGTAGCGTTCGTATGCGAGGGGTAGGAAAACCCAGAAAATTGACCCCTGTCCAGTGAAAACGCTGGAATTTCATCGGTTCCGTAAAGGAAGTTGCTCACAGAAACATGTTGATTGGGTCCCGACAAGGGAAAGGGGCCTGGGTTACTTCCTTCGTCTTGTGAAAATAAACCTTTCGAAGACTTGAATGGAGTGCCGCTGCTCATTAACGCTGAAGACTGGGATGGCTCCAAAGCTTCGACTTGAGGAGCAAATTGAACTGCTTTAGGATTTTTCCAGGTGGTTAATGCTTGCTTCTTCTGAATTGGAGCTGTGGGCTCGAGTTCGTCTGGTAACGTGAAAGAAGAGGCTGCTTTATAGCTTGTCCAAGCTGAAAATTTTGAAATAGGGGGAGAGGTCTTCTGTGCTGGAGCAGCTAGCCAAGGAGGGGCTGGAATGATCTTTTCCCACTTCTCGTTCGTCTCTGTTAATCGGTGACGAGCGTCAAGTGAAAGCTTGTCTGCATGACGAGGAATGGTGCCGTGAATGTACCATAACTTATCGTCTATGTCTGATAATTCTGAAATATACTTATGAATATCGGGGTTCGTCGAAACTGGTGAGGACAGCACGGAAGTGTTCTGGTATTCTTGCTGATATTTCAGCATGAATCTTTGGGCTGCTCCTAACTTACTAGTCAGACAGAGCCATGTTGCGTGTAGCTGACTTGTAGTTTCCGCTCCTTCTAAGACTTTCAATAGAGTATTGTCGGGGTCTACTTGAAAGTACTTAGTTCTTTCCTCTATTAAACCGGCCATATGTTGGATAAAAACTTGGAGTTCGTTTACAGTACGAACAATCTGCTCGAACAGGGTTTTATCTACCATGTAATGTTGGGTCGGTGATCCTGGCCCTCTGTCTATGACTTCGTCTCGCGCCAAGGACGGTTTGGTGGCATAGAACATGACTCTGGACTGAGTCGATTTCGAACTCTCTCCTTCGTCGCAGTATTCCAGCCATAGGCTATACATGGGAGAAAGGGAATACCCATTTTCCATGCCCCTACACATGTATTGCGAGGGACGAGGGGTACTCTCTGCTTCTTGAAGTGTAGTGGTAACGTTGATTTCGAAAGTGGTGTCAGCTTCTGAATTTGGTCGAAATTGTTCAGGCGGGGAGTGGAATTGAATGGAGTTCGGAGGAGGAGCGACAAATACTGGTGGTCTGTCGAGGGGATTGAAAGAGAGAGGACTCGAGTTGCTTGGCTGCCATAGTTTCCTTTTTCCTTCCACTCTGGATGAGGTGTCCATTGTGATCTCCCTTGGTGTAGTTAGCAAGCCTTCTGCAGTTACGGGACTCGTGGCTACGGTGAGTACGGCGATTGTTTGTGATATGGGCTTATTCAATCCTGGGGGCAGCTTGCTTCCATCGACGATGTTTAGTCGACGCGTGATGGACGTAGTTGATGAAGATGAAGATCGAGATGAGATGTTGCAGGGTTGTTTGCCGAACATACTCGGTTTGGAGAGTGAACGGGAGTCCGATCCTTTGAAGGGGTACAAGTTGTACTGGGGCTCGGGTGATGAAGGTGGTGAGGGAATGGTAGGGGATTTGTTTCTTAGTAAAGCAAAATAATTTGGAGAAACAATACTCGCCAGTTTGGTCGACGAATTCCCACAGTGTCCACCTTTGTGAGGGTCCAACTGTGTCTAACATCGTGTGACCACTTCAGTCACCCATTTTTGGGTACCTATGAGGTACATCAATTCCTTGATTTAGGGTACCTTGGGGGTACCCATTCCGGGGTGGTATATGAGCTCCATACCAATACCATGGTACCATGGAATGGAAAACCCATACCATACCCCACTCATACCAATACCATGTTACCATACCATACCAATACCATGTCACCATACCATACCATGTCCTGTTATACCATACCAGATGGTATGATGTCACTTCATACCATCATACCAAAGCTGTCATAGGGTGTCTGGGGTCCTTTTCCAAAATATATAAATTATTTCTGCAGGCTGCAATACTGGTCCATTGGGTGCCATTTTTTGTGGGGTGGTTCTCCAGGTTTTTCCTGAGATATTAGGCTACAAATTGAGGCCAGATAGTCCAAACCATCTATTGAAAATGAGTTGAAATAGGCTTTATCCCAGCTTTCCCATGCATCCAAAGCCATTTAATGATACATATCTTTCCCAATCCTTTCTATTAGAACAATATTCATCCAAATCAAACAAAACCACATCTATTGTGATGAAGTGGTCATAGAGAAGAAAAGAAAAGTGGAAATGCTTTCAGGTTTTTGCTAAGATTTCCAATCCA